TTTTGCCATACACCTATAAGAACCATAATTTTTTTTTCAGGTCTTACTGTTACACCCTGCAGTTCATACGCGGGCACTATTGTAAGTAAAGATAATAGTTAGTCGAGTTTGTTTTCGTTTGTTTTGGTTGTTTGTCGCCAATAAAGAGACTGTATTTTTTGTGTGCGTTTTTACATAATATTATAATAACGACAAGAAAAAACCGTCGTTCAACTTGTGGACACGGATAATAAAAATAACGTAGGTATCTTTGACTACCGATGGGCAACACGAAGGCCAGCAGCGCCCATAGGAGAGGGGTTAGGTGGGGTCATAATTCATACGTCGAACATATTCTATAACTTAATTATTATTATTATCATTACCTACTTATTTTCAAGTCTATTATTTTAAGAATATTCTTCACTCCACCCCCACATCTTATTTTTTTTTTAAATGTTCTAAATCTCCGGAAGACTTAAAAAATCACCCTGTACGTAATAAAATACAGGCGGACGAGATTTTCGAGACGCGCCGCAGGTTAGCGAGAGAACATTATAATAATATTATATTATAAAAACGCGCCGGATGATTCGAGCTGGAGCTTTTTTTTTCCGGCGAAACGAATGATATACATAATGTAATCGTTTCGCGTGTGTATTATAATAGTACACAATAGGTACACAAAGACGGGCCGAGTCGCAAAAACGTGTGCTCCTTTATAAATGTATAATGGGCGTGTATAGGTACCTCCTATGTGGAATATACGCGAGTTTGGCGCTGAGTAAAGAAAAATGTAAATATTTGTCTACGTTCGGTTTGGCGTGTTCCGCGTGTGTTATATATAGAATATAGTTAGAATCGTGTTGTTTGACAAAAAGCTTATAAAAATAATAATAATACAACACGGCTGTTCAAATCGTATATATATGTATATATAAAAAATAATAAAGTGTATTATATAATATACGTTTGCCCGTTTATGTAGGAAGGAAAACGCACAAACAAAGTTATTGTTCTAAGTGAATTATTTAAGTATATATATAATATATACATATACAAACGCGTTATGTACATATGTGTATATGCACTCTTTAGTTACATGCGCAGATAATTTAAAATCATTCGTTTGCGCCACTTTTGTTTTTTTTTCCCATCAGATGACCCAAACCAATATAATATTTAAATGTACCTGCGCCATATACCTAATGTAATAGTGTATGCGTATACGTAATAATAAAAATAATAAAAAAAAACGTATACTGTCATACCGAACTAAAAAAAAATATATAATAATATAATATATACATATATACGTCGTATATAACGACGACCAAGCTAATATTATTATCGTTATTGTATATTATATATGTTACGTTTCGTATACATTTAGGAGAAAGTTTAGGCCAACTTGTAATAATCGTTAAGTTATATTATATGAGCTTAGGCAAATTTGAAAACCAGCTTAGATAATATTATATATAATATATATATTATATAGTAATAACAACGGTTATGGTATATAGTACAGCACGTCGATACAGAATTTCTGAACTCAAGCGAATAATATTACAGCGTGGGCAAGTGTGTGTGTGTATTATATATAAGTAAGTAGGTATTATTTTGTTATGACGTGCCAAATTGTGTTCAATGGCTTTTTACGTTAGTATAATATAGGTACGTTACACGGCGGGTTTTGGAGTGACATTCAGAAATTCGTGTACGTACACTATTATTGTATACATATATATATATCAAATAAATAATATATATTTACACTGTTGGCCAGCCAACAAAATATTTAATATACTTTAAATAAAAAAACTTTCCATAACCCATGCGATTGATAAAAAAAAAAATTGCCATTATTCGTGTATTATATAGGTACGCGTCAACGACAATGATTTTTTTTACAATAAATTTTTGTTAGTGGTTAAACTTTGAGGAAATTTTTTTTTAGTGAACCAAACACAACAGAAAAAAATATAAATAAATGAAAAATAATAAAACGACATGAGATTTTAAAGGTATATATACCAAGTCTATGGTCGGGGCAGCTCTCTCGCGTCTCATTAAATTCCTTGAAACATTTACAGAGCACAATAATGTTATTTACAATGAAAACTACTTATATAAATTAATGTATTTTTTTTTCTTTATATATTTATATATAATATATATATATATATATATATATTATACATATGTGTGTATATATATATAAATATTATATATAAATATCAAAACGAATTTTTCAAAACAAACATGATTTGTTTTAGATAAGTAAATATATATATTTTACTATCTAACTAATTTTGAACACATCACACAGTAACATTTTAAATTTAAATGAAAAGCAAACTGTTACCAATATATAACTTTTTTTTCTTCTAAAAAATATAATAAAAAATAAAATAAAATATATATAAATAAATATATATAATAATTATATCAAACATGTATGGTACTTCACAACAATCTATACCTGTAGTACTAAAGAGAAAAAAAACACGAAATGAAATAAATAAAAGAACACCCACAAATCCGAGAAAATAAAACAAACACATTATATATATATATACACACATTCATGTAAATATTTCTGTTCTGCTGGATTGGATAAATATGGGAAACTTATCACTTTACACGATGTGAAACACATTTACGTTATATATATATATATTATATAATAACGCTTTGTTAATCAAACATAGATACGTCAATGTCTGCAGCTGTGGAAGCTGGATGGCATGTTGTCTGTCTAACTCGGGGTTGACGTTTATTATAAAGGCAATTAAAAATTAAAAAAATTAAAACCAATAATATAATAACAACAAATAAATAAAAGTGAAAAATACGAAATAATAATAATGATAATATAGTAGTAAAAATATTTATCTCATTTTACTAATAAATAAGCGCAACGTTTTAAATTAAACTATATATTGTATAGGAGAAAAAAAAATGTTCGCTAACGACTTCTACTTACATTTTAATTAACTTTGTTAAAATTAAAATAAACAAAATAAGGAAGGAAACAATAATAATATTATGTTACGGAAAATTACATCGCAAGCCATCTGATAACGCTAATTTATTATCTATAATATTATATAATTGATATATTATATTATTTTTTTTTATATACTGCAGGCCATTAATTTCAATTTAATTACAACAATGTATTATAATAATAATATGTATTTGTAATAAAAAAAAAAAAAACAACAAATTTTTAGAAAACATATACTATGATAATAATATAAATTATGCAAAATAAAAATTCGGTACTACTGGGTATTCAACTGACTCAAATATTACGATGCTACCGTCTACCATCAAGATTCCATGTAATATTTAAGTAGGCACTATGATATACATATTATTATAATAATATTTAGGTAACTATTTTTATTAGGTGAATTATATTTTAATAATCGCCATCCAAACGACAGACACATTATACGTCGTCTTAAAGGATTTAATATCGTGAAATATTAAATACATGGTTATAGGCGGTATGCTAATGGTACAATATTATCTACACATAAACTACACGAAGCTGGTGGATTCCATTCGTGACGACGAGTTGGCACACCAGTCTTTGTCGTCGACAAACAAAATCAATTATTCAGAAATGAATCGAAAATTAAATATATGTATTTATAATATGTAAACCGTATAAAAACAGAACTCAAATTGACACACTTTGTATGCTGTCGAACGGTAACGAGATTATGACAAAACATATTATACAGGAAGAATATACGAAATTGAAATAATATATTAAAACTGATCACATCGTTCGCTTCGAATCATTCTCCTCTTACACGCGACCTCCCTCGCGATTACCCGACTCCGAGACGAGACAGTGTCGAATTTTGTTTTATATAATTATAGGTAGGTACAAAACTTTTGTCGTGTCGCGTTCGTTAGTGTGTGCACAGCTTTGTAATAATATATTACATATTAATTGTGTTAGTCGAATGATTTTTGCACGATCGCTAAATATATATATATATAGATGATTGCGTATAACTTAAATATTATTATAGAGATGATTCCGATTTATGGTGATGGTTTATGTATACTTAATATTATGATAGGTATTATGATCTATGATATAATAGATTAAAAAAAAAAAAACATGCAGCGCCCTGAAAAAATCCACCTTAGGGTCTGTGTATACAAATCGATATATAATGAAACATAATGGACGATATATGTGTACATATTAACTCGATATTATTTATCTTGTTGACGTTATAATAATATAATAATGAATGATATGAAAATGAGACTCTATATTATATTTGTATACATAAAAGCGAATTGTGTGTTTTTATTTCGATTGAGATATGATGATGGTGTGTGTGTGTGTGTGTGTGTGTGTGGTTACAGTTGCGTATAGCGCGCCGGACAATAGGTCATCTGAATTATGGACTTCGCGGTGGTTCATGAACGTTTTTACCTCAACTGAGCTTGTTTTGACGACGAAGACGACGATGCTCGTCACAATATTTGTGATCAAAATGATTGTTTTTTTTAAATTTACGATGTTTGACAATCGTATGGTGTACAACTGTAGACCGTTAGTGTGCGCATATATTTGGAAAATTAGATCTCCGCAATTTAAGAGTCCAAATTAGCAGGGACGAAAAGAGAGAGAGAGAGAGAGAGAGAAATAAAAAGTAAATTACCTCTTTGGCTTTTATTTTTTGTGCCTATATATAATATTATGAAAAGCAGGTTTATAACATAAACTATATTACGGTTAAGTGGTACTCAGTTTTGGTTAAAAATCATTGATTTTCACGTCACGTCGATCATAAAACAGATGCGCTAGGATCAGCGCTCAGACGACTGTCAACCGCAACGACAACAGAAACAACAACAACAACAACAACATCAACATCAATATCAACTTCAATAACAACAACAACGACACCATACCAACATACAGTTATAATTATTATTATTATTATTACAGGGCGGTTGTTGGTTTCGTTATCAACACTTACTTAGTCGTTTAATGAGGTTGATGAACGCTTGGTTGTTCGACCGGTTATGTTTTGGGTCCCTTTGGCTGTACTTGATGTTGGGCACGGACAAGAGTCGGGCGTCCCGCGACGACCCCGCGGTCAGGTTGCCCTGCTTGTCCAGCGACGTCCGTTTCCGGTGCTCTTTGGTTGACCGGGGGGGTTTAATGGGCTTGCCATCGCGGTCGAACAGCTTGAGCTCCGTGGGTCTGGTGGCCGCGGCCGAGGTGGACGACTGGTCGCGGGCCGCCGACTGCGTGCCACCGCCGTCTAGCCGATGCTCTTGGCCATCAGTTTCGGTTATGATTTGAGGTAGACGGCCGGTGGTAGCGGTGGTCGTGGCCGTGGTGGTCGTGAACGTGGTGGTAGCAGAGTTGGTGGTGGTGGAGGTGGTGGTGGAGGTGGTGGTGGTGGTTGTGGTCGTGCCGACGCTTCCGGCTTCGTCGGTTTCCGGTTGTTCGCCGGTGCCATAGAACGTGGACGCCTTGTTCTTGGCGGGCGTCGCGTTAAACGTATTCTTCAGTCTCAAGTCGACGCGACTCAGCTGTTTCTTCAGGCCTCGCCACGAGTGACTGGTCCGACGGCCGTTGCCCTTGACCGGCGCAGGGGTGGCCGGTTCCGAAGAAGCCACGGTCACCGCCGTGGGCTGCTGCGGCGGAGGCGGTTCTCCCGGTTCCACCGGTTCCCCGGGTTCCGGCGCCGCGGCCGGGATCAGGACGAGCGCCTCTTCCGCTCGCTCGGTCACGTCGTCCAGCCAATCCGGGTTGGCGGGGTTCGGCGACACCTGGGTCGAGTACACGCCGACCGGGCTCAGGGCCAGTTTGCTGAGTTCTTCCAGTTCCTCGGCTTCGTCTTCGAGGCCCTTCAAATGCGGAAAGTTTTCAACTTCGCCCAACCGATCGCGTCGTTATATTTTATGGACGCGAACATAATACGATGGAAAACGTAGACGTCGCGTGTACATTATAATATTATTTTACGTATATATATATATATATAAATAATAATATGTCCCACCGTGTCTCATGCGGTCTCAAGCGGGTTGGGCGGGTTGGAGGGCGGACGGGTGGAGGGGTCGATCGATTAAACCACATCACCCTCCCCCGCCCGCCAGCGCACACTCGCCGCCGCCCGACCCCCCGACCCGCACGCACACTCACGATGGCCGACCAACAAACGTTCTTCGTTTCGTTTTCGCGAGCGCGTTTTGGATTTGTCAGTGGCAAAAAAAAATTTTGCAAATCTCAAATCGTACCAAGTATTATGTATTATTATTAATATTAATATCGTGTCATATAGTGTGGGTAAATAATAATTATGATCGTGACCACCTGCACACAAATGATTCATGAGTGGAACGACCAGAAACACGACGGGATATTGTTGCGACGGGTATGCAGTCCTCGGCGGTTTAATGGTCGTCGGAAACTTAAGAAAAACCAGCTTAGAGTGCCCGAGAGTAAAATTTGATCCGAAATTATTCGCATTAATCGCGAGTAGGTACATTAAAATGTACGCGGAGTATAAAGTATTATTATTATAAATCGTAAACATATTTTATTGCCCATTTTACGCCGAAACTCGAAGTTGTGTGTGGGTAGTTAACGATTTTAAAGGCGTTTTTATGATTATCAGTTTATTTGACTTTGTCATAACACCACACGTCATCATGCCCCGAATGCTTGCGGGATTTAATTGGGTACTGGTCGATTAAATTCTTACTAATTTTAATTCAAAACCTTTTTATCGCTGAACATATACATATATATATAGGTAGGTAGTGAACACAGTGATGTGTATACAATTTAGATTTAGTAATTTAACGAAGCCGTCCTTAATTGTAAGCCATAAAATATATTCAAACAAACTCATCACAGTACCTACATCGGAGCGATCGAAACATACGAGTATATTTATAGTGATCTCAGATAATCCGCAAAGACTGCGAAAATTAGGCAGTGTATCAAAGCCATCTATGAAATGATTTTTCTCGAGTACTGAGGTCTTTCCCTCGATTGCACTTTGACTGATTTTTATTATTTACTTAATCTTTTATTGCTATATAATATGATGCCATCGAGTTCAGTTATTTAAAATTTATATTGTAAAATCATAATATGTACACACTACACATTGTAAGTATACACCTATAACTGTTCATCGAATAAAGTGATATTTTAATTTTTATACAAAAACGGATCACAATAACAATTTCAAAGAATAAAACACAAAACTTTTGAGTAGAATATTGTCAGTCAATACAATGCGTTTTACACCGTATAAAAACCATTCAATGAATGCAGCTACCTATTGTTATGTTGTAAATGAAAAAAAAAATATGTATTTTTTAAAGCTGTACAACTCGAGACTTAGGAAATGTGTTAAATAACGTTATTTGTATACATGTTTTTTTTTATTATTTTTAATTAATTCACGGAATCTGACGAATAAAAGTGGATACTATAAATGAGCATAATTTTGAGAAAATGTGTCACATAAAATTTAGTTAAAAAGTTTGAATAATTAATGTAGTTTTTACACTGAAAGACAGATGAAAAAATATTGGTGGTTATACAAAACTTTTAATATTAATTCAAGCCAACAGACTCGTACAAAAAATTATTTCTGACATAAAGTTCTAGAAAACATTGCGTTTAAGGATTCACGAAGGATAAAGAAGTTTTTTTTCATACAATAATATATATATATGTTATAAACAAATTTTTTTATAATCACAGAGATTAAAACTTGGATAGAGCGGTTCACACTATACACGTGAGTAAGGTTGCGAAATGTTAAAGTAGTTTTTAACACGAAAAATGAAACATAAATGGGATAAATAGAAATATTTTATTTTTGTTGCGCATATTATTATCATCGGTTTAAATGATGAGTCATTTCAATATATATTTATGTTGTGAGAAATGGACGAAATATCCATATGATATAGGCGGAATAATTCATTATTTACGTATATTATAAATAAATATTAAATAATATGCTACGATGAGCTAAGAGCTTTGCGTCTTTTAGATTTCGCTGTAATTTCCGTGCAGTATTCTCATAGAATGTTTTTTCCCGCAGTAATCTCTATTGTGCGGCTGTCACTTCTCAAGCAGATTATACCGAAAACCCACGAGAAGAAAACTTCCTACTTGTTTTCCAGAAGCGGTGACTTTGTATTAAAACAAAATCGAATTAATCACAACTTGTTAGACGATAATGTTCTTATCGATATTCTTAACTCGTTTCGCGTTACACTCTGCAGTAACCGCCCTTGCGCAAAATTAATTTTATGTAAAAATAAATAGTTCTACGCGGATAATCGAAAATGTTCAATCATGATTGACAGTTTTGACGTTAATGATGATGGATTAAGCAAAAAAAAAATAATAATAATAAAAAAAAAAAAAAAAAATTAAAAAAAAAAGACTGTGTGTTGTGTTCATCATTATTATTATTATTATTATAAATCTACGATAATGTCCTACCTGTCAGTATACAGGGCGCAGGGGTCACCGTACACAAATCGTATAAATTATTCAAAAACCGCGTATAGGTATATACTTCGAAAAGATAAAAATGATGTTTTTATACGACGAGATATTATTTTCGGAACATAATATTATATAATATTATCATTTTATATCGGTAACAACAGTTGTTGTAGTTCTTCACGACTAGATTATAATAATATGGTTTACGCATGTTGACGGCTCGGCACGAGTAGGTACACCTCTATATACGTATCGTTCTCATTCTCATCATCATCATCATTGTCATCATTGTCATCATCAGTATTGCGTACGCGTCGGTGTGAAATATATTTTGTCGACACGTCGTGCAGGTGCGCACCTCGGGTTCACCCTGTATACCTATATTATATTTGTAGAGGACCTCGAACGCTCACGGGACGATATTAAAAATATGTATCTCGGAAACTATATATATATTATATGGTAATAATAATATAAAAATATTGTGTAGGTAGGTATATATAATATGTTTACAAGTGGCGTAGGTAAATAATTATAATGATGTTCGCCCGTCGGAAAATCACGTCGATAAAGCCGCGGCGGACCTAAGAGACCTAGTCGGGAAGACGACGTGTTGTTCATAAATACGTTATCATAACGGGTTGGTTATGATAAGTATGTATAGATAGTGTTATTATTATTAGGAAGACATCCGATGTTTTCGTCTCGAGAGGGCGAATTGCGTTCGAATCGAATATTGTCCTGGGTAAATATTATCTATAATAATTATTATTATTATTCGTTTTCTCCGACACAGCTGTGAGCTCTGCAGCCGTTATCGTTATGTATAATAATATATAATATTTTTTTTCGTAGTTATTTGTGCACGACGGAAAGTATAATAGATAGAATCGAAGCAAAAATATATTACCTGATCGATACTGGGGGACCGGCACCGTTCGCCGTCGCTGGTCTCGCTCAAGGCGGTCGTTCGTTTCGGCGACCTAGGAGCCCTTTGGTACGGGTCCGCACTGCCGTACATGTCGGCAGTGCTGATGTTTAGGAGAACACATTTTTGTATAAAGTCTACTATCACAATACCGTTGTCCAGACCGTAGGCAAGCCTGCAAAACGCCATGACATATAATATTAAAATAGGTAAGTACATATTATTATTATTACATAATATATAGGTAGGTATTCAAAACGGTGCTTTTGTCCCGGTCCCGGCGATATCAAAGGATAATAATATACGAGGAATTTTTCGATTACGGTTTTTTTCGAACTTCCGAGAACATAACGATATTTTAAAATCTTTCGAGATTAATATTATATTTGGTATTTGTTTTTAAAATTTAAAAAACGCACCGTATATAGAATAGTCAAATAATGTGTTTTCATTTAACATAAGAGAACCCTTTGCGGGTTGGTTAAAAGCCGATTTTCAAAACTGTAGTTATAAAGCTAAAATATGCATTTGAATAATGCACGGTATTTGTTATTTTTCAAAATATTCTTCTAGCATTATTTAAAGTAAGATGAATATTCAGGCTTGATTCAACCTGCGAAAAGTTGCATCTTTCAGATAAGAACGAAAGAAAATCTGAGATATCGATGAGGCTTGAGCGTTTTTCCAGTGAAGTAATTTTTGTTGATATAAAATACCTATTACCCCCCTCCCACCGTAATAGGTAACTTTTTTTTTTAACTAAAATATAAAATTTTACTGAATTTCGGACAATATGAAAAACCAGCTCCTCCAACCTTAATAATAAATTTATTCAAAATTTGATTTTTGGAATTTTTTAGAATATATATATAAGAATCGTATTCGCAATAACTACACTTACATATTGTCATGTATTTGTAATACACAAAATGAAATAACTTAAAAACTACCTACGTTTTTGAATTTTAATATAAGTACATCAACATTTTCAGAAGAATCACTGGCTTCATAAAATACAGTAAAAAGGTTGTTTCTCACTAAAAAAAAGAAGTTTGTACCGACACAGGACACACTTTATGTGGTATAAAAATCTAAGTACTTTAAAATATGGGACCTCCCTTAAGTATATTTAAAAGTTTCAAAATCGGAACTAATCCGTTATTAAAGGGGAAAATGGGGGTTAGCATACTTCGTGAATCACCCCGTATATAACGTCTGCAGTTGCAGTAGTGCACACGATGTCCACGGTATGCAGGGTTATAGGGCGTATAAAGCTCTCGAGATTATTCACTCTACGACCCTATCCCGCCCAGCAACACAAATCCAATGCGATTTATCGTATCTGCAGCGTGTATTAACCACCGACATGTAAAACGGATTTATAATTACATGACGGCCATTATTATTACAAAATAAAATATTATTTGACCTAGATGTCAATACGCCCAACCTCCGATCATTTTAAGAGGTGTCAGCCGGACGACCCGATCACATTATTTTCCCCACCGGTCATCGGGGCGTCACCCTTTTCGGCCGAAAAAGATAATTCCTTTTAGGCCAGAAATGTGTAAGTGGACATTTACATCAAATTTTTTTTTAACTCTAAGCGCATTTATAAAATGTCCACAACTCGTTTTATAAAAAAAATGTATCATACATTTTTTTTGAAACCAACAATGTAAAAAAAATCCCTCCACGGTATTGCATTAAAGACGTGGAAAAATATGAATAATTGATCTATGGTTGACCACATTCCGAAACAGGACTATGGTATAGGTAAACCATAAACACTTACGAAATGGGTGGAACTTGGATAGAATTGTTGGGGGGGGGGGGTTTAAATTAATCACAATTTACTGACCCTTTTAAATTTTTAAAGTAATTAATTTTTAGAATAATTGTTTCTTCGGGAGCAGCTGGTGTGTTTTTCCCCTTCCCCAAATGCTGTATATGATCTTAGGATTGTTATATTTTGCCGGTTTACCCGAACGGGCCTCATACTTGGTCCGTGATAGCAATACCGTAATAATATGATTTACGGGTGCAGCGTATAAAGGATTCAACTTGGGGGGGGGGGGTGGTATAGAAATCAAACCGACGGTAAAATCGAAAATAATCATAATATTCTACACACGTAAATACTTTTATTTTTCACACTTCACTGTACGGTATATCGGGGTATAGTATCAGGGGCGGCTCCAGGAGGGACCTAGGGGCCACTCCCAAGTTGTATTTCTAAAATTATGACTCCCCCCTAACCAAGTGTCTGGAGCCGCCCATGTATTAGTATACGTGGTATATTATACAATATATTATAATACTCACAGTCCGTACGATGAATTAATCGTGAGCGCGGTGATCTGACCGGGAGGTTCGCCGTTGGCGGAGGGCGTCACGCACGCCAGACAGGCCTGGAAGCCTGGCGGTTTCTTCTGGGGCCCTGTCCGGACCTTGACCAGCGCGGTGCTTTCGTCGGACGCTCCCGGTGGTTTCGACGGCGCTTCTTCGGGCGAGCTTTCGGCCGCCTCGTCCAGGCTCTCCGAGTATATAGGTATATCGAGTGTCTGCAAAACATGACCACCGACGACGACATTATTATATGCAACTTTCTAACCGTGACGTCATCGACGGACGACGTGAAGGTCTATAATAATACGATTGTCTCGTCCGGGGAGTTGTTATGACGATTCGCGGGGCTCGGGTCAGAGTAAAACTGTGGGGCCGAAACGCCATCATCGCGTTTATATATAGATATTATATATTTAGGGGTGAGGCCGGTGAGGGTCCGATAGACTTAAACCGACAAGTTACAAGACTGACAACAATGTCAATAAGTAAGTAATAATACAACACGTCATAAACTTAAAATTAATATATAATAAATATACACAAATATATTACAATTGGCAAAGTCAGCAATCTTCACTTTTTTAAAATAAATTCTTTGATCATATTCATATAATACTTTTTACTCTGCGTCGATTGGTGACGCTGATTTTTATCACATATAATCCCCTCATCGAGATAAAACGTTTTAATACTAGCTGATCGTAGCAAAGAGAGAAATTCCAATCATAATACCATATAAATATAATACATGTTCTACGTTTCTGTGGCAAATGACGAAATCTCCATGCGTTTCTGCGACAAAAGCAGAAATCTCTGTGGGTTCTCCGTGGGTTCCTCAAATTTGATAAAGTCCATTTTCCCTCTTTTATTATTTAATGTTATCGACATTTAACAAATTATATGAATAACACCAAACTCCACTATCAATTAACGAAAATAAAATATCATGGAAAAATACAAGAAATAAAGGTAAAACAGTTAAACTTTTTCTTGGGACCGAACTTTTTCTTTTTTTTTTTTATCAATTTCAGCTTTGAAAATTAAATTTTTATTATTAATTCGTTAAAAGTTCGGTATTTACATTTATTTGGCGTCAGCTTATATAGATAGGTAGTAAAAATCACAACAATCTATTGTTTAAATTAATATAAATGATACATTTTTTTTTTGCTCATCAACTAAACCTTTATTATTGTAGCTTGACTGCCCAATTTCGGCGAGGGCGTGGGGCCCGGGGAGAGGGCCGTGTCCAACGAGTATATATTATATTCTGATAATATAATTATAGTGACAATATGTTTGGAGCTAGATACGAGTTAGGACTGAAAAAAATTTCAAATTTGAAACCAGTCGAGCCCCTAACAAAGACGTCCACCGAACGTCGTTGTGCTCGTTCGAACATATAGTCACATTACACGCCAAAAAAATCGCGTCCATCGGATATCTCACGAAATGCGTCGCTTTTGGGGGGTTCTACAATAATTGTATTTTCCGTCTGATTCGTCTGAAATATTAAATCTGCAGACGGATTTGAGTTTTGCAGTAATTTGTTATGCACGACACAAAATCATGACGGTTAATGTCGGTGTATCGCGTAGCTCGCTTAATACATAAAATTATCATCATCGGAGCCCGGATTTGCATATATATTTTATGTTTTAATGGGACAGACTTGCGACGTGTTTCGAGCACACACGATGATACACTAATGCCGGGGGTTTTTATGCGGCCTTTTTGGAGTTATTGATTTTTGTTTTTTTTTTAATTTTTTTCATTTCTCGGGTGATTAAAAAATATAAAAAAGAAATTGAAACGTGATCTAGTTATAAATATTAAAATTAATATTTTTGTTTTATTACATCACGTAATCGCACTATATATTTTTTTCATTCCAGTCGGACACAATCAATCTGCAGCGACTTCTGCCACAAGACAGAATATATATAGGGTGATTCTTTTATCATGAAACACTCGTTATTTCAAAAAGTATTAATGTTTTTGAAAATATTGTTTTAAATAGTTTATAGTTGTTAAAAAATCGTTTTTATTAAAAAATTATATTTTTAAATATATTTTATCCTTATCATTTTTTAAGATTTTTTGATTTTTTGAATGACAACATTGAGTTTTAATTCCTTATTCCAAAGCAGAATATTTTTCTAAGTATTTTGATTCATAAAAATCGAATTTAGGGCAATTTAGTTTATGAGTTATAAGTATTTAAAGTTTAGATGTGGAGTGGAGTAGTACGGGGTTATCCCGAAAAATATTTGTCCACTACTCTGCTTGGCAAAACTTTAAATACTTATAACTCATAAACTACTCGTCCTAAATTAGATTTTTATGTATCAAAATACTTAAAAAAATATTCTGCTTTGGAATATGAAATTAAAACTCTGTTGTCATTCAAAAAGTGAAAAAATTAAATATAAAGATAACAAATATTTGAAAATACGATTTTTTTAATAAAAACGTTGTTTTCTTAACAACTTGAAACTATGTAAATAAAAATATTTTCAAATACGTTAATACTTTTTGAAACAATGAGAGTATTTCATGGTAAAAGAATCACCTTGTAAGTATAGGCATTGTCTATAAACGATCTCGTAGCTGCAGCTCTGTCCGTCAACTTTTAAACTACACACGTATTATATATCTACGTCCTGCACATAATAATATGTAGTTTTGTTATAATTTCGAGATAATTTGGTTACAAATGCGCATTTATCGTTTGACGATTATTTGTTGGTTTTTTTTTTTTTATAAGGCATCCTCACTGCACAAATACAGGCTCTAATTATGGTTCATGTTCAGCTGTTTACGTGCGGAAATGTCACGGTTTTACATATTATTGTGATTATTATTCACATCGCGGACTATGATATTACAGAGATCAATACAATACAATCCTGCAATTGATGAAATCGGCGTGCTATAATATATATGTATAGTCGACCGACTAACTGTGTGTGCGGGTTGTACGTTATTATTTATTACCTACACGTATTATTATAATAGTCGAGAGGGGAAAAAGTCAACGTTTGTTTGGGTTATATTAATATTTTATTTATCTCCCGCGAGTCCCGCGGGTCTGAGATAAAATTGCGTACGTTAAAATCGAATTGAATTTATTAAAAACGAACAGTATTCGACGTTATTTTCACGGTTCTCAGTTATATTTTTCTCCTCTAAATCCTGAGAGGAAAAATCGACATGAAAATAAAGTCAATTCGGTATAATAACGTTATAGGTATATATTATGATTATTATAACGGTTAAGAATTGAAATCCATAAGCGAATTTAATGATATTAAAATTGTACCTATACCTATATACACCAACTATACATATAGGTATTACATATACGATTTTGTAAGTGGCTGCCGATTGCATTAGTAACGTTTCAAATCAACTCAAATGGCAAGACAATGTTAAAACAATAGGTGCTAATAAACAACGTTTGCATTTCATAAAGCGCCGTGTGTATACAATGTATTGAATTATATCGTTATTATACGTTACATATTTTGATAAAAGCATTTCTGTGAGAAAATATCGATTTTAATTGGTTATTGAATTGAATATTGTCATTATACAACAACAATTTGTGGAAAGGAAGATCATTATTATGTAATAATTTATTTGTACAAGGACTGTTTTGTTATATAAAAGAAACTTTAGTGTTTTAGATTCCGAGTGGAACGATGAATGTACTGATTTTACAATGACGTGTGTTTTTTTATTTTTTTATTTATTTTTTTGTTATTTTATTTGTGTCTGTGTACACTATAAGTAGTCGAAATAATCCTTCGATTTTCAACTTCTGTATCTTGTTTGATTGGAAAGTGAATATCGTTGGTGCATTGGGGAGGTCAAAATTTAAACCTCTAAGTTATTTTCAAAAGCACAACTTTATCAAAAAAAAATGTTTATAAGAAAGTCAAATTAAATTTTTATGAGCGTTTGATATTCAAATTTTTACAACGTTGAATATTTACTCGATTTCTTATATAGCAATTTCCGTATTTTGTTGTAATTTAAAAACGAATAACTGTAGAATGTAGATACATGAAAATTTCACTGAGTGTTTATATTAGCATTTCCTATACACCATACAATTTTGAAAATATTTTGACTCTTTTTGAGCTGTTTACAGTCATTTACAGTTTTCAATTTTCTTTAGTTTTTTTTTCTATAAATTTCAATAAAGTTTTATCTGTTGGGCCAAAAAGTGTAAAAATTTAATACAAGGATCCTGATATATTGTTACAATATCAGTTGAAAAATATTAAAAATACATAGGCAGAATTTTTTTTCATATAAGCATTTAAAGATCGAATTTTGACTATATTTATCAAATTTAAAATTGAATAATTATTTTGTAGTTAAAAATTTATAAAATGTTCGACTTTTCTATCTAAATTCTAAGGATTGAAAATTCAAAACAAGGATCCACGTTAGTAGTTAATTCTGTTACCAAAAAATCTAAAAACTACATTAGCACTGTTTATTTTTACAGTCATTTTAAGTTCAAATTTGGACGAAATTACATATTAAAAACCTATAATAACTATTTTAGTTATTTTGTTGTGGTTGTATAATATTATTTGTGGGTAATTGCAACTTCTAAAGTATACTATTATATATCTAATATAGTATCACGGTTTGTTTTTGATGTATAAGAAGTTATATGATTAATTTGGAATTTATTATAGGTCAATTTTTTAATAGATATAATAGTATATAATATGTCTTATACCTAGACTGACATACCATCTCCGCTCAGAATCGTTTTTCTTTTCCAATGATATTATATCATTGAATTCAATTTTAATACTATCTATTATACAGTGACCCACTTGTAACCCTACTGTACAGCAGAGCACCTTTTTTTTTGTTATTATTATTTCTTTGGAAAAACAAATTCTCGTAAATATTATTTTTTGGACTTCGGACATTTACGTTCTTACTGCTTTCTATATAATGACTAAACTCTGTTGATTCATAGGAACAAAGTTCAGTAAATATAAAGTGCGAACATTTTTGATTAATTATATCATAGTAAATGTTAATTTACAACACGTCAGGTGTTCAATAAAATAATTTATAGAATATTAAAAGCACGTGGTATGGTACTCACTACAAAAGTTTTTCATTATTATTACAAAAATATGATTAACAATGTTTAACGGTGTTTAAAGATAACACAATAAGAGAGTATGGACAATTTGAAAAAAAATATCATATTTTAATAATATTAAATAAATTGATTTCTTATAATAATGTATTAAATTAAGCCAAACGCACCAGTAAGATCCATAATGTAGGTATATAAATTATAAAATAATTGAATGTCATAATCTGAAACTTTGAAAAAAACTTGCCGTTTATAATTTTTTTTTAACATACCTATATTCTAAAACTTATTTTTTAGTCTATAATTATTTTATAACTTTAATTTAAACGTGCAGAATAGTTGAAAATCAATAGTATTGTCGACACATTAATTTTGTTTTAAAATTACTTTAGGTAGGTGCTCCAACTACGATATATTTTAATGTATTATTCTATGTATATTAAAAAAAAGATAAAAAGATTACTCTCATTATTGAAACAATGCAAGTATTTTTTTCATTAAAAAAATATACATAATTTATTTAAATTAGAGTTTACTGATACAAAATGCATATGCAGTAATTGTTTGCCCTGTTCCAAAACAAATATAGTACCTATGTCATTAAATTATGTAAAGGTATCATCCTATTGTTAACGTTTAATTTTAATTTTAATTTTAATTAAAATTACCTGATGCTGTATGATTATTAAATAACATTTAAATAAAATGCGACGAGTAGCGTCTACAATATACTTTACTCGACTGGTTACTTTTCATGTTTGTACTTAAAACATGTTAAATAGTTTCTTAAATCTTAACTAGTATAAAAAATAGTCTTCTGATGAAATTGATAAAATACAGTATGTTTTTTCGTTATTCCATATAAGCGGATAATTTTCTACTATTAAGATCAGTATATATGGTATTTTAATCAAGAATGTTTACCAAGAAATCTTGGAATGTAGGTCTGTCTGTACAAATACGGATGTACCTAATAATAATTTAATATTATGCGCACACACGAGAATCACTTAAAACGGTCAACCGCGAGCACAAAAAGGATCAATTTGAACTATATTTTAAGAGTCAAAGAACAAAATATGTTTTAGTAATGCGTACATGCGTATATAAATCATTGTTCTTGACGCTTTTTGAGGTTATATATACTAAACGATATCTGTACCACATATACACATAACAACGCGTATATAAACAATGCACTACACAACGGAGTTATTGCACTTAAATCTGATATATAGCTTTATACAAATATTCGGTTCAGGTCTTTCCTTATTTGCATATAGTATATATCCTCTACCCTATTAGCTCTGCATACACTGTATACATATATTCTTCGAGCAAATATAATATATAATGTACACTCGAGAGACTATATACGCAGTCCATGTTTAGTACCGCGTGTTTAGCTGTTGATCCGCAATGTCGTGCAGTATTTATGGCTTACACATTTAGACATATATATATATATATACGTGATTAAAAAAGACTTAATACCTTCGTACGGGCGTACTGCACATAAGAGCGGTCGCTATATACGCAAGATTCGTAATATTTAAAAAAAAAAATAAACTAATTCTGTACCTGCACAACAATTATATTATACCTCATGCGCACCACGTATACCACAGGTATGTAATAATAGGCACATAGAGGTATAATACGTATATTATGAAGCCGGATCTCCACTGTACCGTGTGAGTCGTATAATATAATAATATAGAGTGGAATACCTGTATACAGGGTGTAACAGGTAGAACTGACTTTTGGAATAGATTTTGTTCCAATCAATATTACATTTTTTTTATACATAATGCGTTACACACATATGTATTATACAAAAAATTATTTTAATTTTTTATCACTGAAAATAAAAAAATTCAATTTGTTTGGGTTTATTCAAAATAGCCAATTTGTGAATCTGATTATATATGAACAATTTTGATACTAAAAACATTTATCGAAGTCGAGTAGTTTATTTTTTAGAATTTTTTAAAATATCAATATTTTTTGATTAAATGAATTTGGATCGTAATAACTTTTTTCAAAATATTTGTTTTTGGGAATTCGCGCTGAATTTTTGTCATACGTTTAAGTAGCATACATTTTTTTTTCTCCTCAGGTCGTTCTCTTACTGCTCCTTGTATATTATATATTCAACTATAATATTGTAGAGGATGTCTGTGCGTCATTATAATATACACAACAATGACGACGACATTATAATATATTACCGTGGTTTCGAACGTGGACTCGAGTTTGCGGAATTTGAATAGCACGACGTACGACGAGATGCCGGCAACGGCTAATTTCCTGCTCTCCGGACAGAACGACAACAGTTGCACGGAAAATTGATCTTCGTCACCGCCTTCCAGCGATTTTGACCTGGCCTTTTCGAACACCTTGGCGGTTTTCAGTTTGTACAGCACTTGCAGACTGCCGGCACTCGCGTCCCAAAACCGTACGCTGCCGTCCGTGTGTCTGCAAAGGTTGCAAAAAGTAGAGACATATTAGCCGCGGTATGGGTATGGCTAAACACCATAAAATAATGTGCACGACGATCACTGCGATTTTATATTCATCCCAGTTAGGTTAGGTTACGATATTATATTTCGTGCCTATTTAGGTGCACGTGAAAGCGACGTGCATAAAGTTATTTCGGTTAAAATAAATGTCGGACGTTTGTTAATCAGAATCGCCTTTGAATTCAATAAGCAAACGGTCTGAAAGCCGTTGAAAAAAAAAGTCCCATTTCATTCGCATTCATCAGCACTCGGCAGAATAATAATTTAAAATGTATTTTAATTTGTCAATCTATTCCTCTCACGAATACCGTCACGAACTGTTGAACTTTCTGCGCAAACTTTTCTAAACACGATATTATTATTATTATTATTAGTATGAAGTTGTATAAAGTAATTTAAAATTTCGTGAATTCTGCTCTTTTCATTAAATACGGTCCACTTACAACAACATTTTTATTTCACGACGTTGAACAAACCTTTTTATTAGATATTCTTTAAGTTTTGGGTAATCGGATAAGCTCATTTCGTTATTCGATAGCTTTAAAATAATCACAACAGCAGTGGAAATAACCACGTATATAATGTATATAATCGGATTATTTGACCGTTTTTTATTTGCGATGGAAAAAAATAGAGATATCAAGGGTCACCGTATATATTTATTGCTTTGTAATACCGATAGATAAATAAACGTTGTGTTTAATAAATAAATAATTAATGCATTATGATCATTTCGAGGGGATATATAATAATTTATAATGTTAAATCGCGTACCTTTCAGACTTTCAAGCTATTGCGACTCTATCGATTATATTTAATATTGTGTATTATAAAAATATACCTATAGTAATATCATCAGTGTTAATGTCAAATCTATATACAACGAAAAAAATTAAGATTTAAGTTATTTTAAAGTATACTTCGGCACAATAACAAGACATAATGTGAAGAAACAACGTGGAAACAATGGTAAGTATAGCGTATTATGTACGTCCTTTATGATAACGTCAATCGCTATGATATTGGCTCTCTCGGTTTTTTTTCTTTTTTATTCAGCCCCTTTAAAATACGAACGGTTTCTCGGCGCTTTTTTAATTTCTTTAGAGTTTAAAAAGATATAACAATAGGTTAGACTTTGTTCTATCGTTTTTTTTTATGTACTTATATAAAATCGATTAAATTAATTAATTATTTTTTTTTTTGTTGAACGTTATTTGAGTACGGTCGCTATACACATTAAATACGTACACAAAGGTACAAAATTGTATTATTAAAGACTAATGGTACACATACTGTCTATAACAAACTTAGAACATCGTGCGAATTACACAAATATGTAGCGGTATAGTTACTGGGGTGGATTACAAACGAGGTAGGTATACATAATATAGTCGAAGAGTTCTCTCAAATTGGGGGGGAGGCGGATAACGGGGGCCCGTTGAAATTAAATCTTAATTTTTGAAATTTTGATATTTGGATATGAATTTACTTATTTTATGTTAAATAATATTTAGCCATATAAATGTATATAACAAGATAATATTAAGCATAGAAATCGTGTGCGGGACACTCGTATCGCCTGGGTTATGGTTATTTTATTGGAAATTTTGTATAAGGCACGCAAAAAAATGTGTACATGGGCCCAAAATTTGATGCAGGGGGGGGGGAGTTTATGTTTTATATAATAATACATTCTTATTCCAGCACTACTCACCCGGTGAGAATGATCTCGTTGTAGCTGCAGGACGTCGGGCTCCACTCACCGCCGGCGATGGGCCACTTGTTCTCGCTATAGCCGGTCCTCTTAGACGCGGACCTCGAACCGACCGAATAGAATGCCGGTATCAAGTCTGACGGGCAGTCGGCGATGTAATGGACGCACGACACGGGTGACTCGTGAATGTCCATCGGGTGTGGGTTCTCGAAACACGGATATCCCGAGCTGAGCAGGTCGATCAGCACCAGGTCGTTTTGCATGAGCACCGCTACGGCGTACGGCTCTTGGACGTCTGACAAGACGGAACCGAGAAATGATATTAACGATTAATAACTGATAACGCTAAGACGGTTCAGGCGCATCGTCGGCCAAAGTCGTAAAGGACGTAGGTATGTCCAAAGTTAACAAGTTTTTCAGGAGAGGAAAAAAACGTTTCAAACATTTCGTCGGCCTAATTCCATAATTCGAAAAAGGTCGTATCTCCATCACTTATTACAATGCTATTACAAATTCTTATAATAATTACATCGGAGATACGATGATTTCTAATCAGCGATTTCATCGATGATAAAATTATACAATTTCAGTTACGACTTTATCATACGATGCGGTATTTTTTTTCTTAATTTTAATCACCAATAATCCTGAAATCCAAAAATATGAAGTTACGCCCTTTGCGACTTAGGCCGACGTTATGATAATACAATCTATAAGGTGATGCTTAGATGCGTAAACGCGCTCAGCGATGGCCACAAAATGTTATTATTAAAGACTAATGTACACTATAACAAACACCGTCGTCGTGGGAATTACACAAATATGTAGGTACCTATATAGTTAAGAGGCATAGAAACGAGAGGTAAAAGACCTCTAGGCAGACCTAGAACAAGATGGAGGGATTGTGTCTTGAAGGTTCTAAAAATACTTCAAAACGGAGCTCAGTTAGACATGGCGTATAATAGAGAAGAATGGAAAAAGTTTGTGATGCCAGAGTTGGAGCTATTGGTCTATTAAGCTATAATATGATGACGATGAAGATAGTTACAAGGGTGGATTTTAATCATCAATACAAATGGTAGATACATAATATTTGTGATCAGGGCTGTTGATCCGTTGAAATGAATTTGCAATTTTTGAAATTTTGAAAGTTCGATAGGAATACTTATTTTTGGTACAAATTTACATTATAACGATATATATTTAGTAGAAATCGTGTATGGTACACTCGTATCCTCTATAATGGGTTGTATTTTATTGGATAAAACTAAGACCGGTTTAGGTGTACAAGACGATCGTGTTATGATAATATAATCTAAGTTTTCTAAGGTGACGACAAATACGACGTAGACACTAGACGCTGTAAACGAGCTCGGCGATGCCACCTTTCAAATATAATAATAAGGATATATTTTATTATAATCGAGAACGATTTCCGTCAGCGGCATACGGTTTGATTGATCGATAGGGGTTCGGATATCTACCTATCGCTCTAATTTTTTTAAATGGCTGTTTACCAGAACGGAGTCGAACCTAACCTATCTAACCCGGAACCCTCCCCACTGGACATTTTTTTTACCGATAAAGAGTTCTTTAAATACCTATTGTAATTTGTAATTAATTTACTATTGTTACTTTTTCAATTTGGCCATCACAGTTTTTGATTAATAATAAAGATCTACTAATATAATATTATGTTACTAAAACAATGATAAATCTTTAAATATGTTATAAAAAATAAAGACTTTTTGTACCAGGTTCAATCTGGTACAATATAATTTTAATTTTAATTCATCAACTTATTGTAGTAGGTATTATTTTAATAACGCGATTTATCGTTTTTAAATATGATGATTTCGTATATATTGCAATAGGCGTATACATAATATTTTCTGCAAGGGTCATACATCTCCGTACCCCTCAATAAATACCAAGGAGTGAGGTCGTGAGGAATTCTCAAGTTTATAGATATATGACACCTCTTGGTATATACCTATACGTTAAAAACTTACAAACAAACGAGATGCGTATTGAACTTTTTGATATATTATCGTGTTTCGCAAAAACAGAAAACAGAGTGTGGATAAAAAAAATGACGACATCGGGGTGAATAGGTGCATAATACTAACACATAATACTTAATAATAATTGTATAGTGATTAAATTATATAAATCAAGTGCACTGGCAGGGTCGTCAGACGATTTTAATTGCTATTTTCTTTTCAAAGGATATATTATTGCATTGATATTTTAAACATTCAGAAAACAAATAATACATTCATTAGTTATATTTAAACAATTTAATAGTAGGTATACCTACTAATGTTTACGATCCTGTCGCGTGGAAACCGAACTGCCGAACAGACAACAGTGTTTAAAATTTAAATCCTTTGACTATATACACGCGACAACAAGAGGTTGTTTGCCTGTCGTCTATTGTCTCAGGCTGAGTGAGTTAGCCTTCGTGTGCACATATTATAATAATACATTTTCCTCTGTGCGCGAAGGCACTTTCAAATTCAAATTGCACATAATTCTAATCCTTGTCAGTATACAGTCATCACTCATCATAATATAGTTGAGTTATATAATATTTGTTATCTTTATACGAAACTATTAAGAAATCGTTACTATAGTTGATGTTAATTCACCTATAAAATATTTCATTATAGATTAAATAAATACACTTAACACATGATGAAATATGGTCCAAGCGGGGGACAGGGTTATACCCATCCACATTGGTTTTGCCACTGATCTTTGCAGGGCTTCCAGTGTGTTGTTTGTGAAAAATTAAAATGTTAAAGTTAAACGAAGTAATTTTTTAAAAGTAAATCTTTTTTTTGTTACGGGTCGGTTTAATTAATTCTTCAGAGGTTGTACCTACTGTAACATTCTTTCGCGATGAAAATCGTAGCGTGGAAAAAATATACAAACAAAGTTATGCTTTTTACGAGCGTTTAAAGAATGCCGTCGCAGAAATATATCAATCCACGTTTGTAACTGCAGAGCATCTATACCATATGGTGGTATTCGACGATAGAGAAATAATTTTTGTTTCTGAAAATCAGCGTTGGCGGTGGAAAAGACAACTAAAATATAAACGTCCCGACTGTTGTGACGATAACTCGGAACCGGGAAACTGTGAGCGGATTTCAAGCGGCAATTCGAGACCTGGGGTCTCAAAACCAATTATAATAGCGGCGAGAGCAAGCACGTTGTACACGTGCTACTTACGAAGAGCCTTATCTCAAACACAGGTAAACATATTATATTAACGTCGCTATGGAGAGAAGGTCAGATAACCGCAGAAGATTTGATATATTATCATGCATAATGCATATTATTTCAAAGCTAACCCAACCGATAATTTCGTTAACCGATTTATCGAACAGTCTTGTACTTATATATAAGGCTGCATCCGAATTGGGAAAAGAATTAAAAATTGCTACCTATAAACTATAGTTGAGTCCGGGATTATTTAAGGTACTACACTAGTTGGGTCCCGAATTATTTTATGTATTTCACTATAGTTGGGTACCTAATAGTTTTGAGTGAGAACTATACTATACTAACATTATTCTTTATATTTTAACAGACTTAGGATTGTCTATGACAAATTTAGAGTGTAGACCAAAGGTATGGTTAAAAATAAACCATTTATTTTTTGGTTTCTTTGCCATTAAAAATATAAACCATAAAAATTTTACAACTTTTAATATGATACAAATGTAGGTACAATACCAAGAAAAAATATTAAACATTTTAAAAATCAAATTATATAAAACAAATATCCACATTAGGTAGGTTGCCTATTATATTATACAAATAGAAACAAAATATATTGTTTAAAAATATCACTGTTGTGTTCGTAAAAAAAATATATGACATTAATTTTCGGCATTGTACCCATTATTATAGTTGTATTATATATATCATAATTTGTAGAATTCAATTAATTTAGTTTTTAATGGCAAAGAAACTAAATAATGAAACTGTAAAAAAATATTTTTAAACATATTATACTTTTGGTTTGAATACACTTCCAAGTCTGTTAAAATGTTAGTATATATGGTGTAGTATACTCACCAAAAAATATTAGGTAGTATCTGAAAAAGTCCAGGACCTAACTAGTGTAGTACTTAAAATATTCCTGGACCTAACTAGTGTATAGTACCTGAGATTAGTACCTAGTACTTGGGACCCAACTCGGATGCACCGATTTATAAGATTCACTGTACTATATAATAAAATATAATCGTCGCAGTGGGCGGCAGAGGCTGGTATCTATGTAATATTTATTACTCGATAGGTCAAGGGCGGGGATAGATGAATTAAAACTAGAAAAAATACAAATTCGTATTTCATTATACGCTTATTATATTATCGTTAAGTACGAACCTATAATAATGCTCATGATGTATATACATAACTCTGCTCAAGCAGGGTCTAATCGAACGCCTGCACTGTATAGCTGTTACCTACCCCCTGACGACCCTTAAATAATATAATAGGCCACTGACGTGCACACGTCGGCCAAAGAAACCTCTAATTTTATTACACTTATTACATAAATATAATATAGGTACTGACCGCTGTTGTAAGGACTTTCGCACAGCGTAACGAAGTCGACGATGTTGTGGTCCATTTCGAGAACGGTAGTCGTTTTGCCGTGCATGATCGTTATGCTGGGCACGCGGCCAGCAGTATCGGCGGTCAACCCTCCGGAAAATATCAAATACGATTCGCTGGCAATGACACATAACGGAAAATAGTGAGAACAGTATGATTTAAAAGCACAAGGGTAGCGTTAAAAAAAAATATTATATTATTTATATATAGTATACGCACATACGTATAATATATAATAATATTATATAAAGTAGCATTAGCAAAGGAAATTATTCCACATCAGCGAAAAATCCAATAATAATAATAATAGTAGGTATAGGTACTGCCGTTATGGCGATTAATGACAGTTGAACTATACTGATTGTGAAATATTATTTTTTATTATTGCACATTTACCCGGATTTCGATGATTTCCACTCGACTTTTTGAATAGGCTTGCATGATTCCGTTTTGTTTTTTGCTGAAACGTAAAAGAAAAAATCGAATAAATTAATTAAACAAGATGATTATAGGTAGATGTTTATTTGTTCAACAATATTTATGTTTTTTTTTTTTTTTTTTGGGGGGGGGGGGGGTAGTTAAAAATAATTTCATTTAATCTGGACGAAAAAAATATTAATGTAGGTTGGCGGCTTAAGTTTAAGGTCCATTTCAAGTTCTTAATTATACAGGTTAAAGCGGTCATTAACTTTATTTTTAAATGGCAAGTAAATAAAAATAATTATAATTATCATTATCATTATCAAGTGTTTGCTGACCGTAAACCCTAAAAAAGAATCCAACGGCTACATAAAAAAGTTAATTATAAATTGAATCGTTACGAACAAACTTTTAAAAAATAGAATCTCTTCATGAAATAATTTTGTTTAAATATTTTACCATAAAAGAACATAATTTTAAAATTAAAACGTAAGAAATTGCTGCATAGTTAGATGTTAGTGATTCTACAAGTTATTTATCAAAGAAACACTATCCGACATTCTTTGTTATATAGTTATTACAATCATAAACAACGATACATTTATTATATGTATTCAATAAATAATAATAAAATAATTGAAACTCGTCTAAGTTTATATTGAAAAGTACCTACGTACAATATCATGCTCATTGTGTAAAAATGAGAAAACAATTTTATCAGATCGTCAAAGTTTTATTTTTGTATTATTTTTATACGAGTATATATGAAAATAATGTACCTATGTGGAAAAAAACAAAATATTTTAGAATCACAAAAGAATAAATCGCAGTTTTTATTTTAAATGCATATTAATGAAATGAAATATATAATTAAGTAATAATATAATAACATTTATTTTTAATTACCTACTATTATTTGACATTATATTATTATGGACTTTCTTACTTGGTAATAACACAGAATATGGATCATGAAATAATACTAAAATATACGAAGTGTATAAAAATATATAATATATGTACTTACATGAATATTATGAGATTGTTATATCACGATTTTGGAAGTTAGGTAAAAAAAACAACAACTTATTGATTCGTTGCCGTTAGAGAAACTCAAATGTTTATAAGTTTATTTTTATGAAAACATGTAGGAACACACATATTCTAACTGCGTTTAACACTGGAAATTAGATGGTACCGATTTAAATTTTCAATAGTTATTAATTTCAATTTAATTTTCGAAATAGGTAATGCAATAATATTCCGTAAACTAATTTATTGGCCGGGTGACTACCGTATTATATATAAGCAGTATTATATTGATTCCGGATGAAAGCGATTGAGAAATATCGACCAAGTATTAACCTAATTGTTATTTGCATAATAAATATTCACCGTGAGGATAAATTATATTTGCTGGTTTTGTTGACGGCTTGACATTCCACGTGGTTAGACTGCCATCGTTGTGACTGCACGTAAACTGTTTTCCTTCGAAATGCCAATCTATAGACTTGAGCGAGTCGCCCCATTGCCAGCGGCATTCGGGTTTCTTTGTCTTCAGGTCCCACAACACCATCAGACCAGTCTCGAAGCCAATGAGCAGCTGACAAATAGTTTTTAACAGATTTATTAAATATTGTATCATTTTATTAGGTAATACATTAATATTATAATATATTTACGTAATTGGAAGTTATTACGCAGGGTTACAAAACCCTTAAAATCTAGACACCGAGTGTGTCGGTCTAATCAGTATTTTTTACAAAACAATATAATGATATTATGAAATTTTTTACAAACGATATCAATTATTGATGTTACTCAACGTTTTTTTTTTATTTTTATTACATTTTTTGCATTGGAACAAGTATATGGGGTAGAGACCACATGATTCTGCAAAGTCCCTCGCCCTCTCAAAATCAAGTTCACATAGAATAACTACCTTGCAAATATACATTTTTTAAATTGATAACTTAATAAATATAATTGAAAAAATAAATTGTAAGAAATTTTGTTTTTCTGGTACTGCGTCTGATTCATAATATAAATACGGGCGATAATAATTTTCTGCGATAGAAACTGTACTGACAGAATAGTATGACCAAACAGTGTAATATTTCACCTGCACAGATGTGTGTTTGTATCATCTGCGTATTTTGTTCCGTTTTCTCAATATATTATATACCTACTACCTAGTAGAGAGATATTAAACAATATAAATTCCACTTAAATGACGAAAATAACAATTAGTATTTGTATGTCGATAACTATAGCTGGACGGAGGAGGGCTAGGAGTTTAACTAAACGTTTTTTTTAATCAATATTATGAGGAACAATAAGTCTCCCAACAAATGTCGACTATTCGCACCTAATTTTGTAAAAACAAATAAAAAACAAGACGGTTACCTACGTTAAAAAAATAATTCGGGAACAGTATTAAACCCAAACTAACATATTGTAGGATATATATAAATTTCAGGACAAAAAAAATACTTTAGAGGCAGATTATTTGTTTGAAGAGTTTGTATTTGTAAAAAAATAAATATTAACCTTATGTCAGTTGTACTGTTATTAAGGGCGTCCTTGAGTTTTTTAGTACAAAAACATGTCTTACAGGAAAAACTTTCACGTCCTATAGAACAGTAGGATTTCGTTAATTTTTGTTTTATTTAAAAGAATAGAATATTTTTTACTTTCTTGATTTTTAATCATGTAAGTATGATAATTGAAATGAAAAAAGTCTGAATTTTGAAAACTTCAAGAATTTGTGTTAAATAGGAAAATAATAAATATGTAATAATGAGTAGGTGGGTAATTTAGCTAGCTTTAATATAAAATATTAATGAAAGAGATTTGATATCACACCCAAGCGGTATAACCACTATACGTTAATTCACTACAAAGCTGTAAAGCTGAAAAACATAAAAAAAACGCACAATAAAAATTTTTTAAATTTCTGTAGTGAATTAACGATTGGAGATACAATTCTGAAAATCTTCACTGCACTTTTCCTAGAAAATGTGAATCTAACGAGACCCCAAACAACGAAATCCGTTTTCTGGTTTCGGAGATCTATCTCACTAAATGAAAATGAAAATTATTTTTTGTGCGGCTGTTCACACCGACATGTTTCTGGATTCAAATTGTTATACCGCTTGGGTGTGATATCAGTTAATACATTTCTAAAAATTAAAAATCAAGAAAGTTTGCATGCCGATCCCTGACTTGGCAAGCGTTTTTAAATAGAGGCAAAAAAATTTGTTTGAAAAAGAACAAATATTGTACATTATTCAAATTCATAATGTTCTCTTATTTTAAATTTAAAAAACAAATAAACAATATCGGAATATTCTACAGGGCGTAACAATTTTCCCTGTAAGACTTGTTTTAGTTTTCATTTTATAGAATTTCGGATAATTGGAAAAACCGACACTGACACCCTTAAATCGTATTACTTTCTCGACAATATTTGTATTCCTTTCTAGCTGTTCAAATCGATAAGAATAAGTAGAATAACCATATTATTACAATTTGAATTTTTACATTTATTTCTTTTGGCGTTTTATCCTGGCCAATGTATAGATAGTTGCGCCCAAATACGTTCGGAGGGGCTTTAGAGAAAAAACGATGATGAAAAACAAAAAAAAAAAAATCTCTTATAACTTATTTATAAAATACGAGTTTCGGAATGACACAATACAATATCATTTTCTCCGTCCGTACAGAAAAGCGAGTAATAAAAGTTAAATTGTCAAAGATATTACAAATAGCTTACTCATTATGAATTCAAATGTTGACAAAAAAAAAAAAATAATAATAACATTCTGAATACACATAATCAACAGAGAACGTTACACAATCAAATTCCTTAAAGTCGAAATTGTCGATCGTTAGTATAAAATATGTATAAGTCATATTCATATTATATAAAGTATACATTATACCATTATAATACCGTGGTAGGTAGTGTACGAATGAAATCATTGTGATTTGATACACGAGTCTTATTATTCGTTCTGAATGAAAAGCGAATGTGTTAAATAATGAGTTCTTTATACTGTTCACGTTAAAGTGGTAAACTCAATGAACTTTGGTTGAATTGAATTAATTACCGTGCCCGAAGTATGACGTGAAATTAAAGAAAGAAAAACCCACTCGAAAACTATCCGCAAAAATCCATTCATATACGGAAAAATACACACGCGTACACTTAAATACAATATATATATATACAATTTAAAATATTTACAAAGGCCTTATAACGCATAAAAGATACTGTAGGTACACGGTTTTCAATATGAATCGATACACACCGACTTAAGGTTGAGGGCTCCTGTTTTTCAACACCAACTTCTTGACAGTAATGTAATATTATAATAATTTATAACATATAAAAATCGCACATGTCGATTTTTTTTCTGTCACCGTACTTGTGCAGCTACTACAGGGTTATAGGTACTAGAAGCGAACCGGAGAAAAAACACATTTTAAATCCAGGGTTTTCCAATTTTGAAATAAAAATATTTTCTGTTTTTTTTAAGTTATTTTTTTTTATATATTTAATTATAGAGACAAAGTGTGAGTTCAAAGTTCATATTATATTCTATTTTACTTAAAAGATATTCATTTATTTTTTTTAATCAGGAATTAGTTCTAGTCATAACAGCTAGCTCCTAACCTTTAATATTTTACTTAAAAAAAACCCAAAACAGAAATCAAGAACCTTTTAAAAAAACTGAGAACCAGAACCGAAAAAAATCGCAAAGTACCATTTCCTGGAATACAGCCATCATGCATAATAATATTATATCCTACTGCAGATATTATGTGCGATAAATGCGTAATCTATATATTATGTCCCACCCAACGATAGAATTTTTATTAAACACTATTGATTGATATCCTCTTGTATAAACCAATACTGTTTTTTTCAATCAAATTTCTGGCCTTCCAATATACATTATGCATATAAAATAATAATATACAGACTAACATAATATTTAACAAGTGGCCAATAATCTGACATATGTCAGCATTCATGGATAAATAAACACTATATATATACATGGTTGATCTATATATTAAAGTATATTATACATATACGGATTATAGATAAGTGTTTGTGTGTGTGTGTGTACGATATATAATATACGTGGATTTACCTTGCTGGAATCTGCAGGATTATCGCTCAGGTGCACGATGGGTCCTGGATGGGTGGGTCTGGTCCTAAAACAACAACAAAATAAACGCGATTTAGATTAAAACAACCTTGAACCGGTAATCTATGGCGAGACGAGGGGAAACAGGAGGAGCCAAGTGGCGGAGGACGACAAGGGGGTAGGAGAAAGATGAGGTGCCGCGGGCGAGGCAAACGCCGGGGGGCGGGGTCGAAATTAATTTCGAACATTCGGACTCTAGGGCCGATGTTGTGCGCCGAAATTTATTGCCGCTGCACTTAAATCCGGGACATATAATGGGATTATACGCGTACCGACGCTCATTTTCCGGTCCACAAATACCTACGGTTCGGGAGAGGGTCTAATACCGTAATATATGAATGAGCGACGCGTTATTAACGACTGAAAAGGAAGTAAAAAAAAAAAAAAAGCAAAAACAAAAAACAATATACACACCTTCCCGCGTCACCGTTAATGAGGAGGAATGCGAGTGTGGGGTCGTGTACATATAGGAGGGCTGTTCATATATATATATATACACATCATACATGACTTATATTATAATATACTACACCGGTGGCTGAGCTCGGGGATGGAAAAACGGCGTTATTTCCACCACACACCATCAACCGCGCGTTGTGTGCACACACACCTAAAACCCACTACCGACACCCCCGCGAACGTCGTTTCGAGATAAACCTTCTATTATTATTATATACGCTAATTCTAAACGCATTATGATTTCGGTTATAATTTATAACCCAACTGTAACACGCCCATAGCTCGCGTCATAAACGAACTTTTATAATATTATTATTGTATACAGCGCGATTATTTTATAACGCTATGCCTATTTCATCTGCCCATAGCTGTTGCAGTCGTCGCGTACACCTATAAACTGATGGACAGCGCTTACAGAGAGAAGTCAGCGGTGCGATATAGAATGAGCGAGAAAAGAAACAATTAACAAATAGTAGTAATAATTACAGTGTGGCTACTGGCAATTAAAAAATTGTGTTACGATAAAATCTGCCAATTTTTATATATTTTTATTGTTAACTTAATAACTAATTAGTGTTTACCAAACTTGTGGGTCTGTGCTAACAACCATATTACCTACCTATTTATATTATAGATATATTTATGGTTGATAAAGAAAATGTTCTCCATGATTACTACTCAATGTTCTTTCTCTCTTCGTTCTTTTTTCTTTCTTACGGGGTTATATATTATTCCCTAGCATTGATGACAGGGTGGAGTGGAATGAGCTTTCCATTAGTTTATAGGTCTATCATAAATCATAATATTATAATAATATATATAGTATTACGATGTATAAGTCTTTTCACTTTCTGGATATTTCATACAGGATGTAACAGATAGAACTTTTGGAATAACTTTTGTTTTAATCAATATTTCCATTTTTTTTTTATTTAAAATATAGTCACTTGCGCTACACATATATTAGACAAAAGTGATTTTTATTTTTTAACACTGAAATTTAAAAATTGATTAAATTTTTTTTGGATATATTCAAAATAGTTAATTTGTGAATCTGATTATAAGAATAATTTTGGTGGTAAAAACATTTATCTAAGTCAAGTAGCTTATTTTTTAGAGTTTTTTTAAACATCAATATTTTTTTGATTAAAATTAATTTGTAACGTACCTAACGACTTTTTTCGAAGAAACTTATTTCTTAAATTATTTACTAATCATAAAATTTTAACAATTTTTGTCATTTATTTTTTTTTTTTTGTCGGGTCTTTCTGTTACACCTTGTATATATATATATATATGGGTAGGTTCCCCACATTTGAAATATTTTCACGTTTATATAACGGCCCGATAACGATCGCAGCGTGGATCCACCTGGATAAAACGTATATTATGTGAATATTATTACACGACTCGTATAGTTTCTCTGTGTGTAATATAATATTTACCGACACATTTTATACGCTTTGCACGGTTTTTTTTTATTATTATTATTATTTATTTTACCGCATTATATCATCTCGCTGCTTTTGTACGGTATTTATAAAAACTTTGTTGCGGGCATAAACTTTCGTCAAAGAAGAATACGTTGTTTCTGCCACTGTTATTGTCTATACGCCATTACTACCAAAACTACTCTATACATGTATTACCACGACCACTACTACGACTAGTAGTCACTACTACTACTACCACTTCTACTCCTACGCGGTTTACACAATAGCGGTATGCGGACGTTAAGAATTCGTTTAAAGTTGTATACACATATAATATATAAATAAATATATATATATATACACAATACACTAAAGAACGTTTGAAAAGTTTACGAGTAACAAAAACAACAGACCATTTTGTAGTTCATAAATCGTTTTTTTATTTATGTGTATGGTTAGTAAATCTACCGTCGGTTTTTGCGGCGGCGAGGACTCGCATTAATAGTGATGGGACTATACTATATACCGGGGAAGCGCGGTCGAAGTGCCAACCCTGTTCTGACAGTTTCGTAAAAGGGTGTGCTTAAGGAGGTTGTGTATACCGTCGGTGATTATTTAAAACCGGCAACGCTAAAGAACAAATAAACTCATAGACAGTTTTGCGCAGACGTTTATAATAAATACGGTCTATATATATATACACACACACTGCTTCTGAGCACGGAGAACAATACCGTGTAGGACCTACACTGTATAGGTACTATAATAATATAATATATCGCATACAATGCTCGTTGATTCGAACGTTGTCACACGTCATTACTCGTTGTGTATTTTAATATGCCCACGGCAACGTATCGGCGAAAACTAATATATACGACTATAACAGGAACAATTTATAGGTACGCGTTATATATACACGTGATCCGAATAAAATAAATGATATCCGCGATGGAATAATATTCATGGACCGACTCGCAACTAGAAATATATTCCTGGGGGTGCACAAATTGAAAATATTCCCCAAACTCCCAGACCCACACTACTGTAAATTCAGGATGGGTTAGAGGAAGATGTGACCAAAAAAAAAAATTTGAAATTTAAACGTATGACAAAAATTGAGAAAAGTTATTACGTTCAAAATTAATTTACTCAAAAAATATTGATATTTTAAAATATTCTAAAAAATAAACTACTTGACTTAAATACATATTTTTACCATTAAAATTGTTATTATAATCAGATTTCCAAATTGGCTACTTTGAATTTTCCCAAAAAAATGTAATTAAATTGTACAGTATGGTACAACATTTTTGTATTTATTGATAATTTTTACTTCAAAATAATCAAAATATAATAGATTAAATCTTTTTTTTTGGAAGGTGGACATTTTAAACTCGGGAGCCCCTGTGCACCAACCTAGTTGCGCCAATGCTCGAAGGAGCGGACCGTCGTCGTCGTCGGAAACGGTTGCTTCATTCGCGGGTACTTATCTCGCATGCGGCTCGAAGATCATAGAATATGTGTGATCATTTATCATCGGCCTCGAGATACCATATACATTATAGATTTAGTCTGTCGATTTATTGCTGCTGCTGCAGTAATTCGTTCTGACGGCAAGTCACCACGACACTGCAGAGCCGTAAATAAACTGCCACTACGCAATAACGCGTGTGCGAGAGGTGTGTATAGCCCAACCTAACCAATGCTCGAGTGACGCACAAAACGTTATTTATACAAGACTAGATAATAATGCAGTAAATAGCAGAATATAGTAGGTATAGGTAGGTATAGTAAATGTCCGCAGAGGCGTATTATACTGCAGCCACACATCTTATAGAGAACCGTGGTATTTTATCACGTGGAGCCATTGTTATTTTTTAATTTAATACCTACAGTGCAACCGTTATTGAAAGAATTTCTAGTATAATAGAAAAATTTAACGAAAACCTTAATTTTATATGTGATTAGAGTATAATATGTATTGATATCAGTTCAAGGACCGAGAGACGAGTGGTGTAAACACATAACGAGCTGAATAATTTAAAACGAAATTAATACTATTCCTATATACGAGTTGGACGACAGGTATTATGCATTTCAAACGAGCGTAGAGAGACGTTTCGTCTCGGATTAATTCCTGCAGAGTGTCGAGCAGTATAATTGAATATAAAAGAGAAATGTAGCTTAATTCGTTAAAGAATGAGTTTTAAAATTTAAACTCCGAATGCGTCGGAAATCCAACCGACTATAGTGACAAGGCAGTTTCTGACAAGAGACGAATGGAATTAAAAAAAAAATTTCAAATACAATACACATATCCAAGTTTTGCACCCAAATTGCGCACTAATTAGATGCAATACGATGTTATATAGTCGGCGGGTTATCTAGACCTTACAAGTTTCGAACGAAACAATACTGCAGTGTTTTTTGTCCGGAAAAAACCGCATCGATACGTTTACGATATGACAATGACAATATTATTATTGAGGTGTAGGTATATGACGGAGGAACGCTAAGCGGATAAACCGTGAACCAACCTACAAAATTATAATAATCAAATATAATATTATTATGATATCGGTCACCGTTTCAATACCGTCCACCGCGTTGAGCGGAGGGGTGAAAGCCGGAAAACGCGTAGGGTGGGTAATGCATCTAATGTATATACGACGTCTAGACTTGGGCGGGTCCGTCGGAACGGTGGCACTCGGCGAATCCAAAACATTGTTGACTGCGACTGCTCCGGAAAATCGGCAGGTGGGACGTGGTAGGTGCACGCGGCCCGCATGACACGTCGAATATAGTCTGCAGTTTACGTATACATTTTTAAGGCACGTGCAATCTAAATCCTATAACCACCACCACCACCACCACCACTACCGTTCAGTGGAGTAGACATGATTTCTGAAAGGGGGGATCAAAAAAAGAAAACGACATAGCTAAATGGGAATGGAAAATTGGAAAATCCCCCACCCGCTCAAAACTTTTTACTTAGGTAGTAAAATATTTTACAATAAGGAACATTGAATATAATTTGAGTAGATTCAAAATTCATATCAAACACAAAATGGATGATTATTCACTCCAAAGCCAATGGGGGAGGATCTAACCC